GTTTATATTTAATATATATATTAATTTGTGTATTATATATGTAAGTAGTTTTTCTTTGTATACTAACAAAAAAAAAAACATATTTAATTATATCGACAACTACACAGAGTCACAAATAGGTGTGCAAGAGAAATGGCTAAATTGGGAACTACGAATAATAATAATAATAATAATGATAATAATAATAATAGTATGATTCCAATACAAATTGTGTTTCTTTAGTTAAAATTTAGATATTTTAATGCAGAGACCTTTAAAGCTCGTTGTAAGAATATATATATATATGTATGTATATATATGATATATGATGTATATTAAAAAGGAAGATAAACGAAATCAAATACAATTCGACTTTCCTCCAGTATCACGCTCCCACATACTCTCTACACACACACTGCACACTCACACACATGCACTCACGCACTCACACAGACTTAAGTCTCCAGTCACACAAACTCTTACACAACTATGTGACTTATATAGATCGGTAGCTAGGTACAGTCCTCCACATAGGTCGCCGGAAAGATGCCAATTTGATTGCGCAATGCGCCCAGCCACCAGCCGTCGTCCTGTTTGGCATGAATCTCAATGATGTCGCCGGGCGTCAGCTCCAGCTCGTCGTAGAGTTTCGGTGAGTAGCTGTAGAGGGCCTTGCAGCGACCGAGCACCTGGCACTGGCCGCCATCCTTCGAGCTGACGCTGGTTAAATTGCTATTGGCGCCCTGGGAGCTCATCGACGAGCTTTGCACCTCCTGCGTGTTTTGATAGAAATTCTGTACCGATTGCGGCTCAGCATCGCCCTCGTCCTCATCCTGCGAACTAAACTCATCAAAGTCAGAGTCCTGCTGATTGGAGCCGCCGTCTGCCTGCCCGCGATCGTCTGTGCGTCCGTTCGTCTGGCCACTGGTCAGCGTCTTGGACCTGCCTGCCGCACCCCCCGCAGCAGTTATAGTTGTCGCCGCCAGCGATGCATTGGTTGTCGAGATTATCTTTGGTTGGCTGGTAAAGTTTTCAATGTTGCTCTTGCTACGATTAAAGTGCTTCAGCAGCGCCGAGGTGGGCGCGGCCACGACGTTAATGTTTGCACAGGAGCTGTTTGTCTGCGCCTGCAGCTGTGCATAGTCATCCTGGTCGGTGGCAACGCCGCCATCGCTAGTGTCCTGCGACAACAATGCATTCGTCTGCTGCGTCTTGTCGTTGTTCTTCATCCAGTTGGGCACCTTCAGGATGCTCTGCTGCAGGCCAGTACGATCGCGCGTTATCTACATAGTGGATATATAAATGTTTGTTGAAATATATATATTTACATATACTATATTTCCTTTCTCAGCTTACCTGTATGTGCTGGGCCAACGGATGCGTAGTGCGCGGCTTGTGATCCAGCTCCAGCAGCGCCGTATGCAGCTTCAAGCGTGCTCCTTCCAGATAGGTCAGCATCGAGCGTATCTAGAGTGAAATCTGAGTGAGTCACAAAGCACCAAGCATTAGCTGCAGTAGATAGAGCTTACGTGGTAGAGCTTGTCGGTAATATTCTGATGCTCCTGATTGTTGAGCGACTGGGACAGGCCGCGCAGTCCGTCTCGGGAGCGTCGCTCGCGTTCCAAATCCGTTTTGACCAGCTGCAGCAGTTTGATCAGCGAGTGCTTGCGCCGCTCCCGGTTCATGGCCAGCGTTGTGTGCTCACAGTAAAAGTCCGGCAGCAGCTGCTCGCTGGGCCCCTCCGAGTTGCGGCGTATGTTGCGCACCACTTGCATATCCTTGGCCACGTTGCAGGCGTCCAGCTGCTGCTGCAGCCTGCTCGTCAGGCTGCCCAGAATGGGATTCATGTCGTTGATGAGGCGAGCGTATTGCTGCACAAAGTTGTGCATGTTGCCCACGCGATGCTGTTCGCTGCTCTGCAGCTGCGAGGAGCCGCGCAGCACGGCCATCTCCCAGTCGACCCGGGCACGCTCGGCGCGCACACAGAGCGTGTAGTACTCGACGTCCGCCCGCTTGACCGCCTCCTCGGCCTTCTTGCGCTTGTTGTCCAGCTTGGCGCAGTCCTTCTCGGCCGACTTCAGCTCCTTCTCGGCGGCCAGCTTGTTGGGGCCCTGATGCAGCAGCGCTATCGACGGCGACTTCTGTATGCGCACGTCCAGCATCGCATCCTGCAGCTTCTCGTTCTCCCGGGCGGCCGTGTGCGAGGCCTTCTTGGCCTTCGCCTCGCTCACACGCCACTCGCTCAGCACACGAGCCGCCTTGTCCACATTGCTTTCGACCTGGTCAAATGAGCTCCGATTAGATTCGATGATCAACAAGGGATTCGCTTGCAGCACTTACCGCTTTGCGTGTCTTGTGGTGATTGTCCACGACTGTCTTCAACGGCTTCACCAGCTCATCGGTCAGCGAGACTGCCAGCTGGCGATGGATGTCGCTGCGACTTTCCATTTCTGTAGCAACTCCACGCCAGGCATCCGCCACGCTGCCAGGAATCTCTCGACCCGCTTTGTTCAGTTTGTTGGCCAACTTCGAGAGCGACTTTGAATAGATCAGCTCCGAGTCAGCGCTATATATACATATATGGAGGATAGTAAGAGAAATACATATATTATTATCTGGAAGAGTTGCTGCATTGAGGGGGTTCCAGTAAAGAGATCCTAACTGCGCTTTACCATGGGACTTATTTATTGAATAACTTTTCTTCTAGATAGAGGGTCTAAATCAAGCTTTCTGATTATAACATTCAAATTTGTGTATTTGAAAAACCGCAAGTCTCTAGTATTTGAAATATGAGTCTTTCCGAATTTGGGGCGTCGGGGCGAGGTATCCAAATTACAAAAATTGCTAAGTCCTTGCATTCATTACACGAACCTGCACAGCGAATATGAAGTCTCTAGCTCTAATGATATTCAAGCTGCTCTTAAAAACCGAAGTTAATTTATGGAATATCGATAATAAGCAAATGGAATGACTTATCAAAAAATAATAATCAACTCGTACTGCCTATAGTATTCAAGAATATGCATTTAAAATTTCAAGTCTCTAGCTTTTGTGGTTTACGAGATTAGCAAGTTCACACAAATAGACGGACAGACAGACATGGTTATATCGACTCAGCTCGTCAATCTGATCTATAAAATATATTGTATGTACTTTATGGGTTCTGCCATGAATCCTGTTATACTCTAATATACAATGATGTCAGGGTATCAGAGGGTATCAACACTAATCTCAAGAGTCGTCTATGGAGATCTTTAATACTATCATAAAAACGAATTCCTTTCCATAGTACTCACCGCTCTTGCAGAACGAATATAAGCTCTTTGCTGAAGTCGCCGCCCTGTTTGACATAGCGTCGGAGCTCCTCGAAGCCGTTTTGCCCCTATTAGAGAGGAAGAAACAGAGATAGAGAGAGAGAGAAAGAGAGAGAGAGAGAGAGAAAGAGCTATGAGTATGATTGTCAAGTATAAATATAGTGAGTGATATGAATGATTTATTTAGCCGGGAATGTGGACCAAACAATGCTCTAGCCTCTCTGGCTGTACCTCGTCTTTGAACCGTTTGGCATTCGGGGACAAGTCCTCCTCACTGGGGTTCTGCGACAGCGAAGGATCATAGTCGGTGCGCTCCGTGACATCCTCACAGCTCTCGGTCATGTCACGACTGCGATCCGGCGACATCGACTGGCGGTTGCCACTGGTCGTGGACTGATTGAGATTGACCTTGGATTGGGATTGGGCCACGCGCTTGAGTGGTGTTTGCTGACGCACCACCTCCTTGAGCTTGGTACTCTCCTCGCCCAGCCAGTGCTTCATGCCGTGCCAGCCCTTGCGCAGCTTCTCCTTGTTGTGATTGAAGCTGATCAGGCGCTGGTTCTTGTTCTTCAGCAGTGTAATGCGACGCTCATTGGGACGCAGCTGATCCCGATGCGTGCAGTACTCCAGATCGATTTCCCGATTGAAGTCCTCCGTCTCGTTGATTTGCCGGGTTATCTCCTGCAGCTCGTCAATGGACACGAACAGATTTTGGGCGTTCAGGCTCGTATAGCTAACGGACTTGAGATCGAAGTCAAATTCATCCGTGATGCTGATCTGGCTGTTGCTCAACAGGCTTCTGCTTCTGCTGCGGCTGCGACTCCTGCTGCGGCTCCGGCTGCTGCGGCAGCTGCCCAAGCTCTGTTTGGAGCCCTGCTGCGCTGTCAGCCGCTGCAAGGAGTCAATGCTATTGAAGCCATCCATATATCGGCTCGGCTCGGGCGTCTGAGTCGCTCGCTGTTCACGCTGCGGTGTGCTGTGGTTCTCCTTGTTCTCGCTGGCCGCCAGGCTCAGCTCGCTGGCGCCATATAGCTCCGGCAGCTCGGGCAGATTGAGGCCCAGCTGCGGCGGCGCCGTCACGTTCAGGTCCAGCGTCATCGACGGCGACTTGTGTAAGTAGACTTTCAGTTCGGAGCGATGCAGATTCTGCACTGATTGCGATTGCTGTTGTCGGGCAATGCGCGGACGTCGAAAGGGCGGCTCCACAGCAGCTGCTGCTGCTCCTGCTGCTGATGCTGCTGGCGGCGGTGGTGCTGATTGTGGTGGCGGCGGTGGTGGTGTGGGCGGCGGCGACAGCTTGTGCTCAGGCTGATGCGTCGGTGTCACAAAATGATCAATTTCGATGCCATCTCCGGCTGACTGATGATCCGCCTGCGGCGTGCCACACGCGTCCACGAACTCCTCCTCGTCGGAGCTGCGCGGCGTCAGGGTGCGCACGATGGAGGATGTCTTGGCAATGCCGCCGCCGATCTGCTTAAGACGCGCCTCGGTCACACCGAAGCGATCGGTGTCCAGGGTTGTGGTCGATATGAGAATGGGTGCCCCGATCTCCAGGCGATGATCCTCGGAGTTGCTGCCGGTCATGTTGTAGCTGCCGGTGGCCAATTTGCCCGGCGAGCCGGAACGATCCTTGCCGGAGCCGCCGCCACCCGGCAAGGTCATGCTGCCTAAGTGGCGGCGGCTGAGTTTATTGCCCAGCACCGAGTACCTCTTGATGCGTGTGAGGAATCCCTTTGCACTGTTTCCATTATTATTATTGTTGCTGTTGTGGTTGTTGTTATTGTTGAGGCTGTTGTTGTTGTCCGCGGAGGCGTTAGTGGAAGGAATTTCGGCCATTGCCGCATTGTCCTTGCCACCCAATTTAAACTTATGCACACGCAAATGATTCATCGTTCTGCGCGAATTATTTAAATAAATATTTTAGATTAGACTTTCGATTCAAATTCGATCTAACGGCACTGCACGAGTCTCGCATATGCGCATTCACATTGCGTGCGCACCGCTAATTGTCGAAAAACTGAGAGTGGAGAACGCAACTGGAACAGGCGGCAAGTGCAGAAGCAAGCAACAGCAAGGCGAAGTGGAGAAACGTCGGAGCCGAAGGAAGCCAAAGCAAAAGAATAAACACAAATGATGAAGGTTTTTTCACGTTGTTGTTGTTGCAGGCAACTCGGGCTGACTTCGAAAAGTAGCACGACTCCTCTACACCCTTTAAGCGATAAGAGTACGGTAGCACCAAGTAGTATATATGTATGTATATGTGTATAAATTAAAACATTAAGATAGCCATACAATAAAATATCTTACAAAGCATATATAATACATTTCGAATTGAGCTGATAGATTTAATTAATCGCATTCAACTTATGTATATGCTTGAAATACCCTATGCTCATAAAACATAAAACGCGAACAACGCTAGGCCGACGCTCACCTAAATATATGTATGTATGTACATACATGCCCAGACACACACACACTAATAAGGAATTGGTAAAAGGGGGAAAGAGCAAGCGAAACATAAGAATCAGCTGCAGTCAAAAAAGAACAATAAAAGAGACACATACGCACTTTCGCTCTCTTTCTAACAAGCAAGTGTTGCATTATTTGACCCCTGCCTATGCTGTAAGGCTTACATGCATATGTATGTATTCATGTACACACAAGCACACACACATTAATACTCAGTTTGGACATGGCGACCCGCCGAACACGACCCCCCTCTATCAGTGCTCTTTTGCTCCACTTTTAGTGCAGGTAGAGATTACAAAACTGTTTGTTTATTGATCCACGGCGATGAAGGCAGCGACAGCGGACAGTCAAAGAGTGCATTAAGAATTGGTGTGGAAGCATAAAGAAGAGGCAGAGGCGAAGGCAAAAAAAAGACACTGTCAGAGGCAGAGGCAGAGGCAGAGGAAGACCACAGCTAAACAGTGATGTGCGTTTGTTTTGTCAAGAATCGCTGCGTTGGCATCGGAATTGACAGCAACTGCGCCGCCCTCAGCGACGCGTCCGTCTTCGGCGTTTCTCTATTTTGCTTCTTAAGCATCGACATAACACATGCACAGCTATGCCACAGACGCATACATATACATACATACATATGTATGTATTGGAAGATAATATTTGGTATGCCACCGAATTATGGCTTTTATACCCTATTCACAGAATGTCTGGACAAAACCTAAATCAGATGAATAAAACTTAAACAAAATTATCTTGTATATGATATATTAATATCCTATATATCCTATACGTATGCATATACATACTTATACATCTGATATGTACATATGTATGTATATTTATATAAATTAGTGCATGCTTAGCAGGGTATATTTTGGCTGAGCATTATTAGCAACCGAAAATTGCTTGTTCTTTGTGCCATTTTCGTTTCATTGATTTTGCTTGCAATTGTGTTGGTAATTATTGAAAATAATTTATTTATGAACTATTTACTTTCCAGTTAGGCGAGGTCGCTAAACTGAGCTTATACGACTATCGCATGCTCTGCATACCAGCATTTTTTTATTTTTTTTTTTTCAGATTTTTAATTTGATCTAAATGAATCGTTTTTGCAACTGTAAATAAAATAAATTTTACTGTTATTTAAACACATATGTACATATTTTGAATTTACATGCTATCTATATGAATATGTATGTATGTATGTAAGCTACGTGSTTTTCGTGATCAATGCTAAGACCAAGCACGCCATCAAGCAGACTGCTATGTAGTTCTATCATTCGCTAAACGATACACTGAGAAAAAGTTCATATCCGTTAGCTGAGTTCAGCCACATACATACATGTATCTATGCATATACATATATGTATGCTTGTTGATTGTTGTAGTTAAAAAGCTTTTACAGTTGATATTTGATGGCATTTTTAACTATTTAATAGAATTTTGCCCAGTGTATAGCTGTACGTGCGCTTAAATACACGTATAGGCATGCATATTTGTTTGCATATATGACTCTATTTACAGATAAATACATATGTATGTATGTACGTATTTATGTTTATACATATGTATGTATGCATGTGCCTGCGTCAAGCTTACAATGGAAAGTGGGTGGAGAGCGTGGAGGAAGGGCAAGGCGAAGCGAGGCAGAGCAGCCAATTAAATGCGAACTTTAAAAGCAACTGTGGCTGATGGAGCCTTGCACTGTTTACTATTATGAAATTTCAATACACGCACACACACATATGCATATACGTATATGTATGACGTGTATGTATGTATGTATGTGATCGGTGTATACTTGTGCCATTCGCTGTAAGTGAATATCGACGTAAGGTGCCAAGGTACGGACTCGTGCCCGGTTTCGGGTTCGGGTTCGGGTTCGAGTTCGGGCTCGGGTTCGGGTTTATCTGGTTATTAATTGCGCTCTGCTTGCAACAGTTAACGCTTTTGCGATTTCTATTCTATGATGCCAACAAGCGAAACCGTAGTAAGTTAAACAATTTAATTACATTTTGCTATTGTTGATATTACTGTTGTTGTTCTTAGTGTTGTTGTTGTTGTTTTTGCTGCTGTTGTTGACTTGCATTGTTGTTATAGTTGTTGTTAAAGCTAATTGCATTTGTAATTTGCAAAGAGAACACGTGAACACATGTTGGAAAATTTAGCTCAACTAGCGAATGCCCTGATATTTGAAGCTTATCTAAGAAAGTCTGAGAAGTTTTATTTTTCATAGAAATTCCAATGCATGGAACAGTGTTCCAAGCCTGAACGGTGCAAGTCCCTTTTGACTGGTTTAGATCATTTTTGAAATATGAATTAAGTACTGGTTGGAACATGTGATGAAGTAGAGTATAAATATTTAATGTATATGCATGTAAATTTAACGGTGAAAATTTCATGATATAGCATAATAAATTTGAGTCTAGACGAGTTAACAAAGATTGATCTACATTAAGGTACTCTATATGTATACACTTATACATACATATGTATGTAATGGCTTATAGATAATAACCATATATAAATGCTACATATACATCATTAGAACTGTAATATCTTAACTATACATATTCAAAGCAAAGTTGAAATCGGAGTTCTCTATAAATAAATTCCATGTAGTACATACATATAACAGAATATATATACATGTACAGTATAGTGAATATAGCATATGTTTAATATGTGTAATATTCATATTTTAAAAATTCTTTCCTTTCTAATGAAAGTGGAAGGAGGTCAATTTATACCAGAGAGAGAGAGAGAGACAACTTTATGAAAGACAGAAATACAATATATGCATACGTATAACTCTATGTACATATATATAACTTTTATATATGCATGTGCATGTGTGAACATGTTTTTCCACGTACATCCTTTATCTATATATACTATATATATTATATAGATATCTTCCACTTTTTTAACGTACATCCTCTATCTATACATATTTATACCTCTTATACATTTTAAGCCTGTACTAGTAATTGTATTGAGCAGTCGTTCATGCTCACTTGTTTATATACAGATAGATAAGTCGATAAACAGAGTAAAGTCTAGTTCTCTTCTGGTATTAGTGTTAGTCTGGGAGCATCGCAGCAGCCTTTCGCCACTCAATCCCGCCCAGCTCCAGCCAGCTGCTGATAGAAGAAAGGTTAACAAAGAGAAATGCTGCGAGCGTAAAGCACTGATGTGGCACGTATCTGGCTAATGGAGTGCAACTTGAACTGGAGTGTGACAAGTGAGCAAACAATTGAGCTAATGAACAGGGCCCATATCTGAGCAAAAGTCGGCCCTCGCCGCAGTCAAAGGTTTTGCCCTCGCCATCGCCCTTGCCACTGAGTTGGCCAACAAGACGAAGGGCCACTTGAGGCAGCCGCATGAACCTGCTGAAGTTGCAGCAGCGACTTCACAGTGGCAGAGGCTAATTGCACGGGGCGCATCGAGAGGCCGCTGCAAGCGAAACCCCGCAATTATGCGAGCTCGGCTCGGGCTCGGGCTCGGGTCCGGGCTTTAGAGACAAATAACATAAATTATTGCCAGACGGATAACAAAAAAAAAAAGCAGAAAAATAAAATGAAATGAGAAAAACATCATCTGAAAACAATCAGTGGAGTCGCGGCTAGCCGCAGGCACTGCACTCCGCTCAGCTATAAATAGGCGCGATTGCAATTGCAGCCAGAGAAGCTGTTGCTGCAACAACAACAACACTTGCCAATTGAAAATCCTTTGCGGCATCCCTTTTTAGCCCAATTGCCCCCACCCACAGTGTTGGCAATTTATGCTTAATAAATAGGACGTATAATGCCATAGCCACAATTTGTGGGCGTGGCCAGTGCCAAGGTCACCGCCTGAGGCGAACGCCCCTCCTCACTCGCAACAATGTTAAGCAACAACAGCCTGGCTACAGTCGACTGCGCGCTCTGTTAGTTAACAGCGCTCTGTTACGCTCTGGTTTGTGGTTTCTGGTTTCATTTCGTTTCGTTTAGTTTAGCTTAGCTTAGCTTAGTTCAGCTTAGTTTAGATTGTTTAGCTAGAATAAATGAGCTTGGATTTACCATTTAATGCATCTGCTAACGTTCGTCAAATTTGGACTATTTTACTGGAATTTGTATTATGGATAATTTTTGTTTAGCTTTTTACCAAATCTCGTACATTAAATATGAACTAAATTTACAGTCAACTGAAAGCGAAAAGGCAAAGAATTCGACTAGATGTTGTATTCCAAAACTGATTGACAGCTGAAAAATGGACTACTGTGACATGGCTATATAGATGTGTGTGTGTGTGTGTATATGTTTGAATATATCGAGATAAAACTAAGTGATCCCATGGCACACTAATGTTTTCTTTGTTAGACGCACAGTTTCCAGAAGCCCATTTCCAAAATTAGATCGTTGAGATCATTAGATCATTAGGAAACTATGCCACAGCACGCCCCAGTTCGCCCCAGTTCGACCCATTTCCACTGGAAATAGTATATGTAGAGCCATCGAACTTCAGAGAGTTATGACAATCTGTCATATGTGGAATCAAGTAATTCTAATAGATGTCTTTTAGTTTTGTAGAAAATCATAAAAGTTCAGCTAGCTCTATTCGAGCTCTATCAAAAAATACTCTATAGCTGTGCACACTCTGTGTGACAATCTATTTGCTTGAGTTTATTTCTTAAATTTCGAAATTAATCTGTTATTTAAGTTGAAAAGAATGAGACACGTTCTATGCAGTTTATCTTATCTGGAATAGAACTCACAAATTTTTCAAATTTCTCTAGGTTTCTTCTCTGGTTTTGCATCTTTGAGTTTCGGTACGATATGCTCTATATATCTCAATAAGTGCTGCACGATAAACAAATTCTTGTTAAAAATATATTCAGAAAAGGCA